GCGACGTTTATTAAACTGTCATGGCAAAACTTTTTTAATCAGTTGATAGAAATGTCAACCAGAGTTGCAATGCATAGCATTTTTATGCTATGGATTTTCGGTATTGCAAATTTGTCAAACCATGACAAATGCAAATGCGTGTATTTTGTTTGTGTATTGCAAATAATTTGCAATACAAATTTGCAATGCAATGATGCTAGGCCATTTGCACCGGATCGCGAATAGCCCTTGTATGTTTCGTTGCACAACACCGATCTCAAAGTGCAACCCTGTCGGTGGTCTGATATTTGACGAAGGATGGAAGGAGAGAAGGAGATCAAAAATCGGCACATACAAATAAGATCCCGTTCACTGTTTTTCACATTATTCCAAATTTTCGCCGAGAAAGCAGTGGGTGCAAAGGCACCAATTTGAAACGTGATTTGTTAAGGCTCCTGCAAGCATAACTGAGCCAAAAGTGGTCAAAGTCGTCGTTTTTTTTTTGGTCTCATCGTCATTGGCCATCAAGTGCCCGTATTTTATCGTCATCGCCCATTTGAATGTGCATATTTTCGCCGTTATCGTCGTCGTCCTTTAAATGTGCATATTTTCGTCGTTATCGTCATCGTCCATCAACTGTGCTGAGATTTTCATCATCATCGTCCATCATATTTTATTCGTCCTCGTCCATCAACCGTATGCAGTTTCGCCGACTCTACCTTCACCGTCAATCAAAGGAGTCGCCATCGGCATCTTCATCGTCAGTGGCTTGTTTTGTCGTCATCAATGCTATTTTGNAAATAATAATAAATAACTCATATTCTGTTGTATTTCTAAACTAAAAATTGTCTTTGTCATCCACAAAAGTTTTCAAATTGCCTTTGTCTCCGTTGCCGTTTGCGTGTGTGTGCGTTGCCGTAAGGAAGTAAGAGGCCGTTAAGTCAGACAAGCCGTTAGTTGGAATTCTACTGCTTGTAGAAGACTGGAAGTTGCCGTATTGAAATACAGTTTATCAAGCCACATCGCAAACCGTTATTCGTAAATCAGCACGTACAGTTTTTCTTTCTCGAAGACTCTGCGACTTGTACAGGATTTTTAAGCGGACTTTGTGAGAAATAGCACACGTACATACACCTGCACGTACGTTTTTTTGCAAAGCGTTTTTTTAGTTGTGCTAACGTAACTTCGCGAATATTCTGCGACAAATCAAAAATGTTTACACGAAGCCAGGCAAATGGAACCCCAGTTGCAGCGGATGCTGATGCTAACAACTCCGATTCGGACGTAGATGCGACCGTTAATATTGGAGCCCAGGGTGTCGCGACACAAACGCGGAAGCGATGCGATAGCCACTTTAGTGGCAAGCATTGCATCACTCAAGGCTAGCGTGCAGGAGCTACGCAACGAAACCAGCCGTAGTCAAGTAGAGGTCCAACAGCTGCGGCAACGAATGGAAATGGATTCAGCCAATGTCACAGCACCAACTTCCGAGGTACAGCCGCCACGTCCACAGCTTCCTCAAGCGGTACAACAATTGCCCGTAGTACAGCCGCCAGTGTTGTGCCAACGAATGCATCGCAGTTTATATAGGGTTCAGCCGCCAAGCTATATCCTCTGCCAACCTTCGATGGTAGTCCGGAAGATTGGCCATTATTTTTTGCAAATTATGTGGACACTACGGCGGAGTTCGGATATAACAATAGGCAAAACCTCATGCGATTGCAGAAAGCGCTGCAAGGCAATGCCAAACGGGCGGTTGTGTCTATGCTAATATACCCTGACGACGTGCCTAAAGTTATGAAGGAGCTGGAGTTCAATTTTGGCCGCCACGATTTATTAATCCGTGCGCAACTACAAAAGGTGCAACAGTTTCCCGCAATCCATGACAATCGGCTAGACCAGGTTCTGGAATTTTCTAACCGGGTTCGTAACATCTCAGCCTTCTTCAAATCAGCAAGATGTGCGCACCACCTCATGAACCCAACACTTCTCGAACAATTAATCTCGAAGCTGCCGCCGTCGAAGCAATTCGAATGGAGCAAACCTGCCGCCAGTATCTCGCCGTTTCCTACTGTGGGGAACTTTGCTGATTGGCTGAGTGACTTGGCCAAAGTTGTGTCCATAATGCCTGGCGTCGCTGACATATCGCTGCGTTTTAGCCAACCACCGTTGCCATTGTCGCGACAAAGTACAAACGCCAATCGTCAGTCTGGGTCGAGCGGAGGTCCAGTTCGTCGAGTTCTTCACAGTAGTGAGGAGCAGCGCGTATGCCTGTGTTGCAAACAGTCTCACGTTATAACCAGTTGCCGAAAATTTGCGTCGCTAGACTGCGCAGCTAAATGGTCGCTTGTGAAACAACACCGCCTATGCTTCGGTTGCTTACAGATGGGGCATGGTCTGTTGCACGCGCATGCATCATCAGCTGTTGCACCAAGATTGCCGTACGTTGTCAGAGCCAACTTCCGATCGGGAACGCGTCCTAAACTGTAGGCAAGAAGACGAAGCCAGCTTGTTTAAAATATTGCCTGTTATGTTGTCCGGCCCGCATGGCAGTATAAAGGTATATGCCATGTTTGACGAGGGGTCTTCCGTGTCGTTACTGGAAGAGAGCGTCGCTACACAGTTGGGGTTAATAGGTCGGGAGAGTTCCTTAACTTTGCAGTGGTATGGCGATAGCCAAACAACCGAAAGTTCAAGAAATGTGTCTTGCGATATCAGAGGGGTGAGTGGTCGTCAAGATTATCAGCTAAAAAATTTGCATACAATCAAAGGACTGAATTTACCGAAGCAGTCATTCAACAAGTTTATGCACACTCACACTAAGGAGTTACCAATGCAGAACTACGTCGACGTCAAGCCTGTTTTACTACTCGGTTTAGACAACTGCCATTTAGGCGTACCCACAAGGACAGTCGCCGCCAGATTTAACCAACCAGTCGCCATTTATACAAAGTTGGGCTGGGTCGTCTATGGACCTCATTGTGAAACTGCCACAGCCATGCCGAGGGTGCTTCACGTTCGTAAGTCCGTCGCTTTGGGTCAGCTCAACAAACTAGTTGAAGAATATTTTTCGGTCGAGAATTTCGGCGTCAACTGTAAAATCGCATTAGAGTCAGACGAGAATCAGCGTGCCAGAAAGGTTCTAGCCGAAACAACAAGGGACCTTGGTCAGAGGTATGAAGTCGGATTGCTGTGGCGGGAAGATTCAGTCAACCTCCCACACAGTTATGCAATGGCAAAACAACGTTTATTAATCATCGAGTCACGCATGTTCAGGGATGCAGATTACGCCGAAACCTATAAGAGGGAAATTTCGAAATACCTCGACAAAGGTTACGCACGAGAATAAACGCCAGACGAAGCCGCACACGAAGGGCGAGGACATGGTACCTTCCGCACTTTGGCGTCGTTAATCCGCATAAGCCGCAAAAACTCCGTATCGTTTTTGACGCAGCTGCCGCCACAAATGCCTTATCATTAAATTCAGTCTTGCTGAAGGGTCCGGAGCAAGCGCAGTCACTCGTAGCTATAATTCACAGATTCCGCCAGGGAATTGTAGCAGTCGCCGGAGATATTCAAGAAATGTTCTCACAAGTGCGAATACGAGACGTCGATCAGGATGCGCAACGATTTCTGTGGCGAGATGGAAAGCTGAAAGAACCGATCCGTACCTACAATATGACAACAATGATTTTTGGAGCTATTTGTTCGCCGTGCTGTGCGGAGCACGTTAAAAATACCAACGCTGCCAAGTTCCAGTCTACTATGCCCAGGGGTGCTCGTGCAGTCATCGAGAGCACGTATGTCGACGATCTAGTCGTAAGCTTCAATAGCGCCGACGAAGCAGTTGCGGTCACCAACGAAGCCATCAAAATCAACGCCGCTGCGGGTTTCAAGCTCCGCAATTTTGTATCAAACAACAAGTTTGTCGAACGAACATTAAATGGTCAAGGATTCACTGCCGACAACGAGATTATTAGAATGGAACGTTGTTTATAACATCGGACACGCATATAGATAAGTTACAAAAAATGCAAAATAGGGCTATGAGACACATTCTTAACGCCCGATACGATACCAGCATCTCGTCAATGCTGAATGAGTTAAACTGGCTAAATGTGAAACAATTAATTTTCTTCCACTCAATGAAATTTATTTATAATATTAAGAATGGAGCCCTTCCAAAATATTTGAGTGACAACTTTAGGTATAGTAGTGACACTCACACCTATAAAACAAGAGTTAGGGATAATTTTAAACTCCCATTCTGCCAAACGGAAAACCTAAAGCAAGATTTGTACTATAAAGGTTTAAAAACATACAACGAACTGCCGGCAAATATAAGAAGCTGCAACAGCTTACAACAATTCAAAAGTCGATTATACCACCACTGCAAAATATATGTATAGAATGAAATGATAAAAAATTTTATTTTAAAGGATTGCTGCTTGATCCAGTAGAGAGGGTCGGCATGGAAACTAGTCCTTTCCATTCGCCCTACAGTACGGCTCAAGATCTAGATCCTTTCCAGTAGAGAGGGTCGGCATGGAAACTAGTCCTTTCCATTCGCCCTACAGTACGGCTCAAGATCTAGATCCTAAAGTCCACAGCAATGGTACAGGAAGTGCGGCTCTGGAACTCGTCCTTTCGGGCCGCCCACCTAAACAGTACCCAACATTCGGGCTGCTCGGGATCCCGTCCATTCCGACAGCCACGGTCACACTTATAATTTAATTTAATATAATTAATAAAATTACCTTGTTTAAATGTATATATATTTGTACAGGATAAATGTTAGGATAGTCCTCTCAAAAAAATGTGTAAGAACAAAATATGTAGTGAAATAAGAATATTGTTTTCATGTATGATTGTGATCCTGTGATGTAATGTATGCATATATCAATATAAAAACTAAAAACCCAAAATTGTACCAAACAAAATAGTAAGCAAATATTGTAAATTTTCAGACTTGTTATAGGCCTTTAAAGCTGTCAATAAATGAATAAATAAATAAATAAACGATGGAGAAGGTTCTGGGCATGTATTGGAACACTGCCAACGACGGGTTAGAATTTCATTTCAAATTTCACAAAATCGGCCGCGATGTGCTCGATGGTACGCGATCTCCAACCAAGCGAGAGTTGCTGGGCATAGCCATGTCTATCTACGATCCGTTTGGTCTCCTGGCAAACGTAACAGTAGGTTGGAAGTTGTTGTTGCAATCATTGTGGAAGCTGCGAGTGCAGTGGGACGAAAAGATACCGTATCAGTTGGAAGAGCAGTGGTCCATGTGGTGGAGAAGCATACAGTCCGCAAAGCGTCTTTCGGTGCCACGGTGCTATTCCGCGATGTTACCAGTCGCGGAGGACATACAGCTACACATTTTCGTGGATGCCAGTTCCTGCGGATATGCGGCCGTGGCGTATCTGCGCGTAAGACGGGCTAATAAAATCGACGATACTTTGGTATGCGCTAAGTCGAGGTGTGCGCCTCTGAAAGGCATGACGATTCCGCGTTTGGAGCTACAGGCTGCAGTCTTGGGTTGCCGCCTTAAAGAGCCGCTTGAACGCTGTCATGATTTCCGAGTAGACAACACTACGTTTTGGAGTGATTCCAAGACTGTCATACTCTGGATCCGTTCAACTAACCGAAATTTCAAGCAGTTTTTCGCCTATCGCGTAACCTAAATATTAGGCGTAACATCTGCAGACCAATGGCGATGGATTCCGACAACGCTGAACGTCGCTGACGAGGCGACACGAGCTCGTTCATCCTTTGAGTGCGAAACACAATCAAGGTGGTTCACGGGACCAGGGTTTCTCTACCAAGATACATCGCACTGGCCACAGGAGATATCAGAGCTGACATCCGACCATTGCGCTTCGGAAGAATGCGTGGGACGAGTCTTATTGCTGTCAAATTCTGGCGAGTATGCTATAAAATTTACTAATTACTCATCTTTTTTAAAAATCACTAGAGTTGTGGCCTGGATTTTCCGATTTTTCTACAATGCTATGCCTGGTACTCGTCAAAGTGGAGAGCTGAATGCCATAGAGCTTGCCAACTCCGAGAAAACCGTACTTCGAAAGGTTCAGAACGACTCTTTTGTCGAAGAGATCAACGCCATTAAGCGGAAAACGCCTCTTGCGAAATCGAGTGCGATATACCAGCTGACACCGTTCTTAGATAGCGATGGTCTGCTAAAGGTCAACGGCAGAATCGATTCCGCGTACTGCCTGCCTATTACAGCTCGACGCCCGGTTATTTTACCTCAAAACCATCATGTTACACGACTTATTATGAAGCAGTATCACTGTCAACTTCACCATCAAAATGATTGCCTAACCATCAATGAAATGAGACAAAGGTTTTGGGTACCGCGTGCGCGCGCACTGCTTAAGTCAACGAAAAGGGAGTGTCCGGTGTAAGAAGTGATAACGGGACCAACTTTGTGGGGGCCCAGAAAGAGCTGAAAAATGAACGTTTGTTTGACTTCAACCGCATAGATGGCGAAATGGCAAGACGCAAAATTCAGTGGGTATTCAATTGCCCTGCGAACCCACCAGCAGGCGGTTGCTGGGAGCGCCTCATACAGTGCGTCAAGCGACTATTACAACGCGTTTTGCAGCAAGAGGCACCACGATTAGAAACGTTCAGAAGCACCCTTATAGAAGCCGAAAATATAATAAATAGCCGGCCGTTAACCGAATTGGCCATATCGCCGCAGGATGATGAGCCATTAACACCAAACCACTTCTTGACGGGATGTCTCAATTCAACTCAAACGCCTAGTCTAGATGAAGAGTGTGTCTCCGGAAGCAGTGGCGCGTAGCTCAAAATTTAAATGACCGACTGTGGAAGAGGTGGACAGTCGAATACTTGCCGCAACTTCCTCGACGCTCTAATTGGCAAACTGAAGTCACACCACTGCAACCGGGACAATTGGTCATAGTGTGCGATTCCGCACGACCGAGAAGCCAGTGGGAGCGAGGTAGAATAACCGAGGTGTTCGTCGCTAAAGATGGCCAAGTTAGGAGCGCAGAAGTCAGTACCAGTTCCGGTAAGATACGTCGGCCAGCCAGCAAGCTAGCCGCTTTGAATTTTAGTGAGTCCCCCTAATGACTCACTGGTGGGTGGGATGTCGTTGCACAACACCGATCTCAAAGTGCAACCCTGTCGGTGGTCTGATATTTGACGATGGATGGAAGGAGAGAAGGAGATCAAAAACCGGCACATACAAATAAGATCCCGTTCACTGTTTTTCACATTATTCCAAATTTTCGTCGAGAAAGCAGCGGGTGCAAAGGCACCAATTTGAAATGTGATTTGTTAAGGCTCCTGCAAGCATAACTGAGCCAAAAGTGGTCAAAGTCTTGGTTTTTTTTTGTTGGTCTCATCGTCATTGGCCATCAAGTGCACGTATTTTATCGTCATCGTCCATTTGAATGTGCATATTTTCGTCGTTATCGTCGTCGTCCTTTAAATGTGCATATTTTCGTCGTTATCGTCATCGTCCATCAACTGTGCTGAGATTTTCATCATCATCGTCCATCATATTTTATTCGTCCTCGTCCATCAACCGTATGCAGTTTCGCCGACTCTACCTTCACCGTCAATCAAAGGAGTCGCCATCGGCATCTTCATCGTAAGTGGCTTGTTTTGTCGTCATCAATGCTATTTTGCCAACGCAAATTGGCCACAATTTGTAAAATCATACACGCAAGTTTTAATTGGAATAAATAACTCATATTCTGTTGTATTTCTAAACTAAAAATTGTCTTTGTCATCCACAGTATGCTTCCACACTCTTCGCTCTTGAAACTATTCTAAATGTGAATTTTTCACAGTTTATGCACTATTAGATTATACATTCTATTATTATTATTTCAGCAATACATTGCTACTTTATCAGTAGAAACGTTTATTGACATGATTTGATGTTGACACTCTAATACCATGTTCTGACCGACATCGAAAACATGTTTTCGTTGCTAAANGATAAAATACACCGCAGCAATGGATTATGAAACGCCGGATAAATAAGTAACTTTATAATAGGAAAATTGATTTCATTTTATTATGAATTCGTGTATTAACATGCGTGGAAAATATGAACGCACCACACAAGAGCAGCTGCTATTTTGTAAAGACCACCCCGAACTGCAAACGGGTAAAACTGTAAAAAAAAACTTTTGTCCCGGAGTCCCCTCAGANATATAATCCGCCATTTCGGATTTATTGTTAATTGGCTGGAAAAAGTAAAATAAGAATGAAAGTAAGAGGTTGCTAATGAAAAGAAAATGAGGGAAAAGCATTTTGGTTATGTTTTTGTGTGGCAAAACTGTAATCAGAGGTTGTAAGAAATGTCAACGAAAACACTAACAGCCGGTGTGAACAGCCCAACAAACCCAAAACACGTTTTCAAAGTGTTTTCGTTGTCGGTCAGAACATGGTATAAAACCATTTGGAAATTTGGACAGATTTTAAACAGCAATTTCCAAAATGTTTTCACATAGCTTAGCATCATAGTGAAATTATATAAAGTGTGCCAGCCAGTTTGATGTACGGAAAAACTTATGATAATAAATTGCCAAATTGCTAGCTGGCACACTTTACATCATTTAATTATGCTTATAAGCATTTAACAATTGTCGCCACTTCCGTATCTTCTGAAAATTCCGAAAAGCTGGGATTTGTATCTGGTGAAATCAATTAATGCATTTCACTGTGAGTTATTGTTTAAACACTTATCGAAGTCACGATTGTTTCATTTTCTTGTTGTATATTTTTAATTGAAAGACACTGTTGATATTTTCATTCGATGCATCGAAAATATCTGTTTTTATACGATACATCGATTAGCATCGATGCTATATTTCGATGCATCAAATCGAAAAAAACATCGATGTATTTTTTTGACTTGCAGTCCTAATTCTCTGCTTAACAGCCTTACAGTCCTATTCGCGTGTTGTCACAGTCGTCAATTGTCACAGTTCAATTGTCATTATCGTGGCATCAACTGTTGTCATAGGTATGCACAGTCAATAATGACAACCGAAAAGGTAGGTTTATTTGCCAATTGCGGCGAAAGTTTCTCTATAGTGAAACAGCTGTTATTTGTTTACATTTTAATTGTTCTTTTTGACCGCCACTGCAACAGACGGGATTTCTTTTAGATAAAATACACCGCAGCAATGGATTATGAAACGCCGGATAAATAAGTAACTTTATAATAGGAAAATTGATTTCATTTTATTATGAATTCGTGTATTAACATGCGTGGAAAATATGAACGCACCACACAAGAGCAGCTGCTATTTTGTAAAGACCACCCCGAACTGCAAACGGGTAAAACTGTAAAAAAAAACTTTTGTCAGAAGTCTTCTCTGTATAATTTCTTCTTGCTCCACAATAACAGCCGCGTACATAATAATTATTTCCTCAATGAATAATATTCTGCAATGGATACTATTATGATATGCATACGCAAATAATAACTTTTTAACGTACTTATTTAGGCATATAAAATGGTTTTACAGTTTTCGTTTAGTAAAATTTTGAAACTTCTTTCTGCAAAATTAATAAAATTGAAAATATGTTTCAGCGTTGTCGTACTCAGTAGGTCATCACAAAAATAAAAGCAATTGTCACCGTTGGAGTTTTCACATTGCCCTCTGCATACCTAAACTTGACAACTGATTATAAACATGACAGTAGTTATAGCGGCGAGTTTTGTCATTGAACGCGAATAGGGCTGTTATTCGCGTGTTGTCACAATTCAATTGTCATTATCGTGACATCCACTGTTGTCATAAGTATGCACAGTCAATCATGGCAAGCGAAAAGCTCGTTTCATTTGGCAATTGCGGGGAAAGTTTCTCTATAGTGTAACAGCTGTTGTTTGTTTTTTGACCGCCACTGCAACAGACGTGATTGCTTTTAAATAAAATCAACCCCAGCAATGGATTAGGAAACGCCCGAAAAGTGAGTAATTTTATAATAGGAAAATTTATTTCATATTGGAAAACATGAATGCACCACACAAGAGCAGCGCAGTTTTGTGAAGACCACCCCGAACTGCACACGTGTAAAAACCGTGCAAAAAACTCCATTAATAATATTCTGCAATGGATACTATTATGATATGCATCCGCAAATAATAACTTTTTAACACATCTATCTAGGCAAATAAAATGGTTTCACAGGTTTCATTTAGTAAAATTTTGCAAATTTTTTCTTCAAAACTAATAAATTTGAAAATATCAACACATGTTTTAGCGTTGTCACGTACTCAATAGGTCATCACAAGAATAAAAGCAATAGTCACTGTTGGAGCTTTCAAATTGCCCTCTGCATACCTAAACGTGACAATTGATTATAAACATGACAAAAGTTATAGCGGCGAACTTTGTAATTGCACGCGAATAGGGCTGTAAGGTGGTAGGGTGGGAAAACTTAATAGGGCTTTAGCACGAGGCGATTTTTCAGCCAAATTTTAGTTGAAAGCATAAATCGCCTCGTCTAAACGGCCTTTCAACTAATCGCTTTCAACAAAGTTGGTCGCGAGCCAACTTTGAGCTCGTTAAACTTTTTTTCCTTGCAACCCTGTATTTGTTTACATTCTGTATCAGTGTTGGGAAATGAAATTGTTCCTTCAGTACGAAATCTATACAAAAAATGTACTTTT